AAAACAGCAATGGGTTAGTCTATAAGCTACCAGATATCCGGTTAGGATCATCAGACGTATAACCTCTATCATCGGTAGTTGAGCGTGTTGTCATCGCCTCACCGTCTGAGAACGCTTGGCGATCAACTGCGGCTGAGCTTTCAGGCTAAAAGATGATCTATATTATAAGCCAAAATGAGGGCAGAATTCAAAACAACCTGCGGGGCATCATCCGGTAGCGCCGCTGCTCCAGCTGCTTCAAGCAGCGACAATAAAACAGCCCAATGCTCTCGTCTATGCACATTCGCAGCATTCGTTCGTAACAGTTCATGTAGGCCAAAAGAGATTTGGCGAGAAAATACATACATAGCTTTCGGAGATAAACGCTGAAGGAAAAATTACCAAAAATCAAAAGTCATAAATTCGAATCTATTGAAATCCCACCAAAAGAAGCGACAGCGATTGCAGTACGTCATCGGCCACTGTGTTATCACGGAAAAGATTTCTGTTAGCTATACGTAGCAAACCAACGACTGCTCGTTCAACAAGTAGCTAAAAGAACCGTTCAAATGAGGGTAAAGATACAACACAGAGTAAAAAGTGTACTTACAGGACTCCTTCCAAACCTAGCCGATAACAACCACTCCAAATGCCGTCGCACAGTCACCCAAATAAGGGATAAGCGGTCCTAAATATACTATTTTTGGAAAACAGTAACAACAATGGGAAATAAGAGCTCGAAAACAAAAGCTCACTTTGTTTTCCAAACAGATTGTCACAATCAACTCGAGATAGAAGACAAGTGCATCCTCGTCGTCATCATTCAGCGGTGAGCCCCAAATCAAAGTCTTTATGATTACAGAATAAATAAAATTTTAGCAAACTATCTAGAAAGCAAACTAACCGGTTTCAATGAATCTGCCTTTTCTACAACCGCTTGACTAGCATGAATGAGAGCGCTTAGCAATTCGGACAGAGCTGTGCTTGTCAGATACTTGCTATCATTGAAAAGCTGAGCTGGCCGGCATTCTGCTATGACTACCTCAGCCATCTATAAAGTTGAGGTGAAATTACGAAGAATT